ACCCTGATACCCAAACCACATAAAGACTCAACCAAAATTATTGCAGATAACTTTCCTGAATGAACATAGATGCAAGAATACATAATAAAATACTTGCAACCCAAATCCAAGAACACATCAAAAGTCCATCCACCACAATCAAGTAGACTTCATCTCAGTGATTTAGGGATGGCTCAACATATGAGAATTAGGCAATGCAATTCATCATATAAACAAACAGAAAAAAGAAAAATCACACTAACACCCCATTTGATGATGAAAAAGATTTTGACAAAATGCAACACTCATGATATAAGTCTTGGAGAGATTAGAGATAAAAGCAACAAATATAAACATAATGAAAATTTACAGCAAGCTGACTGCCAGAATCAAATTAAATGGAGAGAAACTCAGTGATTCCACTAAAATCAGGAACAAGACAAAGCTGTACACTCTCCATATTTATTTCATATAGTACTTGAAGTTCTAGTTAGAGTAATAAGACAATTAAAAGAGATGATGGTGACACAAATTGGAAATGAAGAATTCTAAGTATTATTTTTATTACAGATGATAAAATAGTAAACTTAAGCAACCCCCAAAAATTCTACCAGGGAACTGCTACAGCTGATAAACACATTCAGTGAAGTGGCTGGATATAAGATTAACTAAAAAATATCAGTAACTCTCCTATATACAAATTATACATAAATTGAGAAGGAAATCATGGAATAAATACCATAAATAATGTAAACTGTCTTTGGGGTAACTCTAACCAAGCAAGTAAACAACTTGTGTGACCAAAACTTCAAGTCTTTGAAGAAAATAATTGAAGACATCTGAACATGAAAGATCTCCCATGCTCAAACCTACATACAGTAACTGATGGAAGCAGATGCGGTGACCCACAGCCAAACACTGGGCTGAGCTCTTAGAGTTCAATTGAAGAGATGGAGAAGGGATCATATGAACAAGTGGTGTCAAGATCATGATGAGGAAAACCACAGACATAGCTGACTCAAGCTAGTAGGAGCTAATGGACTATGGACTGACAGCTGGCAAAACTGCATAGGACCAAACAAGGCCCTGTGAGTATGGGTGACAGTTATGTGGCTTGGTCTGTTGGGGGCTGGTGGTGACAGTGGCACCAAGACCTATCCCATGTGCATGAATTAGATTTTTGGAGCCTATTCCCCATGAAGGGATACTTTGCTCAGCTATGAAACAAGGGGAGGGGCTTGGTCCTGATTCAATGTGATGTGACACTACCCAAGGAAGGCCTTACCCTCTCTGAGGAATGGATATGGGTGGGGAGGAAGGAGGGGATGGTAGAAGGGAAGGAAGGGGAACTGGTGTTGGTATGTAAAATAAAAAAATGTTTTAAATAAAAAAAGGAAAAAAGATCTCCCATGTTCATGAATCTGTACTGTTAACATAGTATATAAATGATCATCTTACCAAAAGCAATCTACAAGTTCAACACAATCCTCATCAAAATTCTAACACAATATGTTACATTCATTGGAAGGACAACATTCGACTCCCTATGGAAAAGCAAAAAAGCCTAGGATAGCTGAAACAATCCTGTATAATAAAAGAACATCTGGAGGTATCACCATCCCTGATTTCAAGATGTACTACAGAGTTAAAGTGATAAAAACCACATGACATTGGCATATAAACAGACAGGTTGATAAAAGGAATCAAATTGAAGACCCAGATATAAATGGATTTGGGATTCTTCTCTTTGCTGCATTCTTGTTATTCATAGGTTTGGTCTTTCATAGACACCCAGATTTTCTGTATGTTTTGTGCCTGCATACTATATATTTCACATTTTCTTTGACTGAGGCATGAATTTATTCTACCTTGTCTTTAGTGCCTGATATTCTGTTTTCCATGTCTTTTCCTTTGTAGGTGAGACTTACCTCTGAGGTTTTTGTTTGACATCCTAAGTTTTTCATTTGTGTTTTATTTTTTTGTTTCAGTTTGGATTTTCTTTAGTGATCTTATTTCTTATGTCTTGGACCTCTTTAAATATTTTATTCAACTATGTGTGATTTTATGGCCTTCATGAAGGCATTTATTCAAGTCCTCATTGAGGTCCTTGAACACAGTAATTTTTCATTATTACTATGTCATCTGCTTCAGTTAAATTGCATTTCCAAAGTGGTATGTGGGAGTAAATATATCTGGGTAGATAGGTTAGATATTATATGGGAGAGTCCTGTGGTTTCATGGATAGATTGAGAACATCATGAATCAAGCCTAGAGTTCATTTTAGTAAGTGAAGGGACGGGCCATACTAAAGTGATGAAATGACTGTAAGAACCAGACTTAATCTGGTGGGTTAAGGAAAATGTGTGAAGGAGGTTAGGGATATTCATCAGGCTTCATCTTGGAGGTAGACTAGGGAAGTCTGTGTATGGGATGGCATAGTGGAGATGATGCGGAGACAGACATATTGGTCAATGCATAAAGGCCATGTCTTATCAAAAGCATAGATGTTGGCTTCAGCATTGAGGAGGTTGTCAGACTAGGCCAGCGTACTGCCTGGGGAACTTGGGCTACATATGGCAAGTTGCAGAAATATGAGAAACTCAGTTGTAGGAGATACTCACTAGGATAAACCCTGGAGAAGAACCTTAAATGGTTTGTTTCAACTCAAAGGTTTAGTTTACCATGAAGGGAACTCTGAGAAGGAACTCACTGAGGAGGATCCAGGAGGCAGGAACTGAAGCAGAGACCATGGAATACTGCTACTGGGTTGTTCCCTCTGGCTTTCTCAACCTGATTTTTTCGTACAACTTAGGAACACAGTGGAACAGGATCCTCTATATCAATCTAATCATGAGAGTTCCTTGAAGACTTGCCTACAGGCCCAACTCATAGAGGCATCTGTCTTCCTAGCTGAAAAGAATCTAACTTGGTTATTCTTAGTTACTGTTCTATTGCTCCAAAGAGACACCATGTTCAAGGCAACTTACAAATAGAAAACATTTAATTAGGGGGTTTGCTTTTGTTCCAGTGGGTTGGCCCATGATCAGCATGGTGACATATATGCATGGCAATGGAGCAGTAGCTGAGAGGAGAATTTACATCTTGACCCATAAACAGGAGTCAGAGAGAAAATGAGACTGGGCCTGGTGTAGGCTTTTGAAATCTCAAAGCCTACTCCCAGTGATGCACCTTCTCCAACAAGTCCACACTTCCTAATCCTTCCTAAAAAAATCCACCAACTGGAAACCAAATATATGACCCTATGAGGGCCATTCCAAATAAAGCTACCACAAGTTTTGTTTACCCATAATAATAATAAATAGTAACAAAAACAATGATAATAATAATAAACAGGATATAAACCTATAATCCTGACTATGACCAGTTTGGAACGGTATCCCTAATGATGTCCCTGCTAGGGGTAACCAACAACTAGTTCATTTGATTTAAGGCTTGCATAGTAGGAAAGAATTCATGCTTGATTATATAGGCAGATCCTGTGGCTACAGAAGTCATATAACTTAGAGAAAAACATACTAGTGTCATTATTTTCTAAACTGATATAATTTTTACTATATTCTAACTATGGATCCTTATACCTACAGGTAAGGGTAACTTTCACCCCTCATCAAAGAACCTTTATTTCTGCATCAGATGGAGGCGCCTACAGAGAACCACAAGTTCTCAAAGTGCAGATAGTAAGTGACCATGTTTTTCTCCAGATTACTTGGTAAATCACCAATGCAGCCCTAATAATAAAGGCTAAGGGAAAACTGCAGAGAAGAGAGTAGGAAGATTATGAGAGCCTGAGGACAAGGAACTCTGAATCTAAATAGTATGTTCTATATTTGACATGGATACTGCATCCATGAAATGTCAATAATGTAGTTGTCTACTCAAGACATGTACAGTGATATCAGGCAACATGATGAAGAAATGGGGGAAATTTTGCAAGTTTCCACCCTAGATGAAGAGTTGCAAGCAATCAAGCTGCTGAAGAAAGAAGAGCCAATTTTCTTCAGGAATGAGACTCCTTTTAAGTATTCCAGTCCCAAGTGGTCAGTCCCAAGCATATGTATGTAAGAGCAACACTTGGTAAATTCAGCAGATTGTATGTACCTGTGTAGAAACAATAATTATATAAGAGGTTATGAATTTGAGAAGGAATGGGCAAGAGGTAGGAATGATGTAAATAATAGTAGTTATGTATGAGAATTTCAAAGTTAAAGCAGAGAGTCACAGTCCTTGTCAGGCACTAAAGTAAGGATTAGGTGGCACTCTGCTCTTAGAGGACACAGGACACCATCCTTGCTGGCAGTTATATAATATCTTGATACTTGTTCATATCATGCGTTTCTATTATGACACAAAAAATGAGAAATTTGGTTTAAGGATTACAATGGCCTAAGGTCATCTTAGGAAGGCTTCCAGGTTTCTCAAAAGCCATTGTGACAACTCCGAGGACTAAGAGAATCCTACATCACATAATAGTAGGTACACTCTAAAATCCATCCCTTATTCTCAGCCTTGGAACATTAAGGCAGTTTTGTTTTTACAATGAGGAATCAACCTTCAGGTGGTGGGAAGAAGAGAGGAGACAGCAAAGGAAAAAAGAAGGGGAGCGTTTACTACTATTTAAATAGAAATGACAACAAAAATTTGACTCTCTTTTGGTTTTATCCTTGAAGCTTAGTCCAGGATTGTCAAGATGAAGTCCTTGTTTTTTTTTTTTGTTTGTTTGGACTCTCTTTTGGTTTTATCCTTGAAGCTTAGTCCAGGATTGTCAAGATGTTTTTTTGTTTTTTTTTTTTTTGTTTGTTTTTTTAACTAAAGCTTAGAAAGAAAAGAAAATAGTCTTCAGATAAAGACTGGTGGTGTTCCTCTTAACCAAGACATTTTATTCTAAGTGTTACTCTGCGACAGCACTGACATCAGAATCTGCAACCCTTGAGGACAGAACCCATGTCCAGAAAGCTCCTGTGCAAGGGCGACTTCGAGGTGGGGGTGGGGAGGCGGCTGCATTAATTACATCTGAAGAGTTTCAGCTCCATCCAGGTCCACAGGCGGGAGAATATGTACGCTGGCACAATGCCCAGCAAGAGCAGTCTGTAGAAACACAGGTTGCTGGCGCTGCTTCAGCCCTGGGGAAGCCTTCCTCCACAGTGGCAGAGTACAACTGGCCTGACAGGGAGCCCAGCGGGATGAGGATCCTCAGGGTGGGCAGAGATGGGAACATCCTCCTCCCCTCTTCAAAGGTATACAGTGTCAAGGAAATTCGGTTGTTTTCAAAGTTCTTCTCTTGTGCTTGTCTGCTCCTGTTCTTGACTTGGTCCTAACTCCTCATTCATCAAGGCATGCTTCCCGAGGACACACAAAAGACCCCAGCAGCCCCAGGACTGAGGTGAATGCTCCTCAGCCTCGTTCTGATGCGATCCACCTTCACAAGCAGCCTCTTTCTGATCCACCTTCGCATGCAACGACTGCAGACAACCCACATGTCCCCGGCAGAGCAGGGTAAAGGATTCTTAACTGTATGAGAAAAGTGCAACTGAGTGACAAGAGGTAAAGGACAGGGAGGAGAGAGGAAAGGGAGGGGCACAGAAAAGCAACCTGCATCCCCAGTACTGAGCAGTTTAGAGACAGGAAGATTGCTGGGTCCTGCAGGCTTGCCTTGAACTTGTGGTCCTCCTCCATTGGAGTCCCCAAGCCACCATGCCTGACTAGAAAACAAATCTTTTTAAAAAGACCACAAAGTGTCATCCATTACTTTGGGAAGTAAGCAATTTGAGAAGTAAAATGAAGGGCAGGTGGATGATGTTTTTGTGAATTGAGATGTGGAATGGGGCCTACAAACCCAGTTTCACTTCACATAAACACAGACCTCAGTATCTGAGTGGAGCTTCCCATACGCTGAGGACCGGCTGGGTACTGGCATCGGAACCTGGAGCCTCATCACGAGCTGCCCCCGTCACTGCACAAACCAAAGACAGCACCAGTCCTGGTCTGGTGAAGGGATACCTGGGTCCAGCTGCAGCCTCTGGCCGGCAGAGGCGAACTACGGCCGGGTGGACAGAGCTGAGCCGAACAGAAGCTGGACAAGCAGAACCAGGCCGAGCCCAAAGCGAACCAGTCTGCTGAGTGGAACCGGATGCCTACCTGGTGCAAGGCAGCCCAAGCCCCGCCCCAGTGGGTTCTAACAGCTACTCCACCCATATGCCTTGTGACTTTTTTTTATGTCTTCTGGAGTAGAGAATATTTGTCTGCATGGCAGTCACAATTTAAACATGGGGGAATGGAGGATCCCTGAGACCCATGTACTCATGTTACAATCCTTAATGAAGATGCAGTACATAAAACATGCAAGAGCAGAAGAAGCCTCCATTTAGATCATATTAATGTGAGTGAAAAGCTTCTAGGCATCATTCTCCCAATTCTCACACATCCCAGGGATGTTTGTAATGTTAACTATATAGAACAACAGTAGGAATGACGCTCTGCCTCCAGTTGATGTTTGAGGTGAGGACAGCAGGAACCTAGCTAAGCTTATTTTAGGGAGAGCAGGGATCCAGTAGGATTCAAGGGCATTTCTCTCACTGAAAACTGCAAATAGTGTTATTTGCAGCCACAGTGGGATTTTCTCCCTGATACTTTCACCTTCTATTGAGCCTTCATTTTTGTTTTCTTATTCATGTTCACATCTGTATTCTCCTAAAAGCAATCATTCCTTTGGGCTAAAAAGCACAGTCTACATCTGGGACAACTGTCATCAGGTAGAAAATGACGTCCAGGCTAGGGTCACTGGTAATCACAGACCAGTGCAGAAATACAAGATGAGTCATCCTTTCCTTCCTCTTCTGTGCTTGGGGTTATACTCAGAATGCTTTTTAAAGTAACACCACTGGGGGGGTTGTAATATAAAACCCAATCATTATTTTGAAAGAAATTATATTTTAATTATTGTAATATTTTTTATAATTTATTTTTTCTTTTAAATTTCAATTTATATTCCAACCACAGTTCTCCCTCCCACTGCTCCTCCTGGTCCCCCTCTACCCCCCACACCTCACACCCAGTCCACTCCACCTCATGAGAGAGGGCTCCCATGAGGAATCAACATAGCCTGGCACAATAGGTTGGGGCAGGGCCTGGCCTCTCTCCCATGCATTAAGGCTGAGTATGTCACCCCACCATGGGGAGTAGACTCCAAAAAGCTAACTCATCTACCAGGTTTGTATCCTGGTCCTACTGCCAGGGGCCCCTCAGATAGTCCAAGTTTCACAACTGCTCCTCATATACAGAGGGCCTACTTTAGTCCCAGGGAGTCTCTACAGCTGTCAGTCTAGAGTTTCCACGAGCTTGGTTCAGCTGTTCTGTAGATTTATCCATCATGATCTTGACCTCCTTGGCTCATATATTGGTTGTGGATCTCTGCATCTGGTTCCATCAATTACTGGATGAAGGCTCTATGATGATAATTGGGACATTCACGAATCTAATTATAGGGGAAGGCCTATTTGGGCATCCTCTTCGATATTGCTAGGAATCTTAGCTGGGTCATCCCTGTGGATTCTTGGGAATTACCCTAGCGCCAGGTTTCTCTGTAAACCTCTACTGGCTTTCTCTATTAAGATATCTCTTTCATTGCTCTTCCAATGTGTCCCTTCCCTACTCGATCATCCCATTCCCTCATGTTCTCATCTCCCCTCCCTTCACCTTACCATCACTCCCAGTTTACCCAGTAGATCTCATCAAATTTTCCTTCCCAGGACAATCTATGTGTCCCTCTTAGGGTCTTCCTTGTTACCTTGGTTCTCTGGAACTGTGGATTGTAGTTTGATTATCTTTGCTTATAAAAATGCTTAAAGCAATCCTACATATAGAAAAGAGAGATAAAATGTGAATTCTTAAGACAGAAAAAATCAAATAGTATTATTAAAAAATACCCATCACATTTTTCAGGTGAATGAGAGAAGAAAAGCTAGTGTATTTGAAAATACAAAAAAACCCACAAACCAATGCATATTACACAAAGACAAATCTTAGTGTGAATAATTAAAATCATTATATTAAGATATAAATCAAGACAGCAAATGGTTGTGTATGAATGTAGTCCCAGCACTTGGGTGGTAGAGTCAGGAAGATCAGGAATTTCAGGTTGTCCTCAGCTACTCTGTGAGCTCAATGGGATATTATGGTACATGAGTCCTTGTCTCAAAACTTGACACATCAAGAAAGAATGAAAACAAGCAGAAAGAAAAATATGTGCCATTCTCTACAATTTGCAAGGAACTCACTGTACTAGCAAAGGGATTATATAGATTGAGAGGGAAAACAATGGAAACTGATATTCCAAGCAAACAGATTCTGAAAGATAAACCAGCTAGCCTCATATCAGAAAAACTAGAATTTAAGCCAAATTTAGTGAGAATAAAGGTCACAGTATAAACGAAGTCATTCTCCAAGGAATTTTAAGGATTATAACTATAAATATAGTGAATGTTGAAGCATCTTATTTAATGAAAATAACATCAATGGACATAAAATGATATATAGGCCACAGTATATAGGTCACACAAATACTTGACATTCTCCAATGTCTAGAACTTCCAAGCAAAAATTCTACAAAGAAACTTGAGAGTTCATTTATACTGTCAGTCAAATGGATGTTAAAATCTACCAAAGAGCTGCAAAAATACTCATACTTGTCAGAAGCTCAGTAAAATTTCTACAAAGTACTATTTACTTCAAACATTAAAACATATAGAAAGGAATGCCATACCATATGTCGACACACAATAATTGCATGGCATCAAAATAATGAAGTAAATAATGAAATAAGACTAGAAAAACAGAAAGTGATGAATAAAACTATGCAACTATACAAACACACTGGTTGAAATTTGGGCAGTTATTCCTTAAAGAAATTACAAAAACTACATGGATTCAACTTTGAATATTATTAGACCTTAAAGACAAAAAAGAAAAGAGAAAAAAACTAATGTTCCCTAAACTACTCCATGCAAGAGTAAGAGAAGAGGAACCTCTTTTTTTTCTGTCTTTCTTTGTCTTTCTTTGTCTTTCTTTCTCTTTCTTTCTT